TAGGCTGACCGCACCTCCAGTGTGCANCAATTCTATTCCTCTGCTTAACAAATTGTTTGCATTTGCCAATTGTCCTACATAATTTCAGGTTAGCGAAGAAAATTTGTTTAAATTAAAACACAAAATTACATCAAACCTAAAATATTACCTCTCAAAGGGATACATCCATCTGCATTGAACAGGCCCTCCAAGTCATGCCTCGTGTACAAGGTGGATTGGAAGGTGTTCCATCACATCAAAAAACCCACATGGAAATATCTTTTCCATCTTAGTAGAAGTTACACGAATGTTTTGATCCATACGTTGTAGGTTTTCTTCCCTTAATGTGGAAGAACACAAGTCTTTGAAAAACAAACTAATCTCTGTGATGGGTTTCCAGATTCGTTCAGGCAAACCAGAAAATGCAATAGGCACTAAGGTCTCCATGAAAACATGACAATCATGACTTTTCAAATGGCTCAACTTCCCTACCTCCATATCAAATTTTTTCCCAAAATTCGACGCATAACCCTCAGGCATCTTCAACTTCGTTACCCAATCACAAATCTGCCGTCTTTCCTCCAAAGTGAATGTGTAACTTGCTTTGGGCTTGAACACCTTACCATTGTTTGCTGTCTGCAAGTATAATTCAGGCCGCCTACAATATTCTTGTAAGTCCATTCTAGCCTTCGCATTATCCTTTGTCTTACCTTTAACATCCATCACTGTGTTCAACAAATTGTCAAAATAGTTCTTCTCAATATGCATGACATCAAGGTTGTGACAGAGAAGATTATCCTTCCAATACGGCAACTCCCAAAATATACTCTGTTTCGTCCAATTATGGGTAACACCGTATCCGGGGAATCTATAAGGTGGAACTTCAGTAACTTTACTGAAGTTCTGGACCCTCTCCCAAATTTCCTCACCTGAAAGTATCAGAGGTGGGAAATCACATTCGAATTTATTCCTTTTGAATGCATTTTTCATCCTTCTAAACTCATGATCAGGAGGCAAGAATTGACGATGACAATCAAACCATGATTGCTTTCGGCCATATTTCAAAGTGAACGCTTTACTATTTTTCATGCAGTAAGGACAAGCTAGCTTACCAGTAGTCATCCACCCAGACAACATTCCATACGCAGGAAAATCATTAATTGTCCACATTAAATTAGCACGCAAAATGAAATTCTGCTTGGTTGATATGTCATATGTTTCAACACGATCGTACCACAATTATTTTAGCTCATCAATCAAAGGTTGCAAATATACATCAATCAAACTTTTCGGATTACGTGGAACGGGGATAATACAATTTAAGAATATGTATGGACTAGTCATGCACAACTCGGGTGGTAGATTATAAGGTGTAAGAAAGACAGGCCAACATGAATATGGTATGGCAGATACAGAAAAAGGCGTGAAGCCATCCGCACACAGACCTAATCGAACATTCCTTGGTTCACTAGCAAAATCTAGATATGTCCTATCAAAGTGCTTCCAAGCTTCTCCATCTGAAGGATGACACATAACACCAGGTGGTCTTCTATTTTCAAAGTGCCATCTCATATGAGGAGCAGAACTCATCGATGCATATAACCTCTTTAACCTAGGTATAAGAGGTAAATAATGCATCGACTTGATAGCGAGCGACCATATTCCCACTGGAAAGCCTCTTGAAACGAGGCTTTCCGCAAAATTTACAATTGTCCAAACCTGCATCATCTTTATAATATAACATGCAACCATCTTCACAACAATCAATTCTCAATGACGAAAGTCCTAACTTAGAAACTAATCTCTTTGCCTTGTAGAAATCACCAGGTAATTCGATATCAGGGCCAACTAGTTCACGCATAAGGTCAATGAAGGAGTCCATGGCTCCTTGAGAAATATTCCAATCAGATTTCATACTTAGTAATCTAACTGCAACAGACAACTCAGAGTGCGAACTTCCGTTACGTAGTGGACGACTAGCTTCCTCTAAAGCTTCATAAAAACGTTTTGCGTCATCATTAGGAGTTTGTTCAACATTTTCGTTGGACTCAAACCCAAAGTGCATCCCAAAAGCATCCGCAACCATATCATAAATTCTAGAATCACGATTTGTATTCTCCACCGACCTACTACTTTCACCCACAACCATGTTATGAAATATCCCATGGCTACCATCGATCTCTCCATGACAAGTCCACACAAAGTAATTCGCTATAAACCCCTTACTATAAAGATGAACCTTAACTTCCTCCGATTTTTCAAACTTCATACAGTCGCATCTAACACAAGGGCACCTAATTACTCCTTCATTTATGTATGGCGGAAGTGACATTGCGTATCTAATAAATTCATCAACCCCTTCTACAAAATCCTCCCGCAATCCCCGCCGATTAGGATAATTTCTATTGTACATCCAAGTACGATGTTCCATCTATATAAATAAAGCAAGAACAAATTAATTTAGAGATAATGTATTCTTATTTAGGACAATGTATTTACAAGTACTCTTATTTAGGTATTGCTAATGTATGAATTGTTTCTTTTCACAATTTAACTCAATATAAATTAATACAAGAACTAAAAGATCATAATTTCTACCTTAATTTCATAAATCTAATGTAGTTCAAACCAAAAACACTAATACTAAATAAACAAAAATTCTGAAAAATTACATAAAATTATATAGCAAAAATTAAAAATTAAAAAGCTAAGAAGGTAGATTACTAACCTTGGTAGATTAAAAGGAGGATTAAAACAGTGGTGGAAAGGGGCGGGAGACAGCAGCTCCGGCGACAGTGGTAGCGGCGACAGTGGTAGCGGCGGTAGCAGCTCCGGCGACAGTGGCAAGGGGTGGGGGGATTGATTTGTGTAAGGGAATATGTGGAGAGAGAGTTTGGGAAATTTTTTGGTAAGAAAATAACATTTTGGTAGGGCAACCCGATTTTGACTCTGGATTAAAACATAGCGACCAACTTTGGTCGCTATTCTTGGTAGCAAATAGATATTGACTAATTTGACCAACATAGCGACCAAACATGGTCGCCATTTTTTGACCGTTTGACCAAAATGGCGACCAAAGTTGGTCGCCATATATAAAGCAAAAATAAATTATTTTAAGTTTAATTTAAAAATAAATTTAGGATTTTAATTAATTTTAAACTAAGTGTATAGTGTGTGTATATATATAGATAGATAGATACACACACTTATATACACATAGATAGATACACACACACACACTTTTATATGTGTATATATATATATATATATATATATATATATATATATATATATATATATATATATATATATACACATACACACTTATATATATATATATACTAAGTGTATAGTGTATACTATATATATACTAAGTGTATAGTATATATATGTAGATATAGTATATTCGATATAATATTACCTAATACACTTATACTTAGTGCATAGTATAGCGTATATATATATATATATTATATATATATATATATATANTACAGCGTAAGTATATATATTACATATATATAAGCCATATTCGATATAATATTACCTAATACGCTTATACTTAGTGTATAGTACAGCGTAAGCATATATATTACATATATATAAGCCATATTCGATATAATATTACCTAATACGCTTATACTTAGTGCATAGTACAGCGTAAGTATATATATTACATATATAAAAGCCATATTCGATATAATATTAGCTAATACGCTTATACTTAGTGCATAGTACAGCGTAAGTATATATATTATATATATAAAAGCTACATTAGATATAATATTACCTAATACGCTTATACTTAGTGCATAGTACAGTGTAACTATATATATTACATATATATAAGCCATATTCGATATAATATTACCTAATACGCTTATACTTAGTGCATAGTACAGGTACGTATATATTATATATATATATATATATATATATATATATATATATATATAAGCTACATTCGATATAATATTACCTAATACACTTATACTTAGTGCATAGTTATAAGCCATATTCGATATAATATTACCTAATACGCTTATACTTAGTGCATAGTACAGCGTAAGTATATATATTACATATATATAAGTATAGCGTAAGTATATATATTATATATATATAAGCTACATTCGATATAATATTACCTAATACACTTATACTTAGTGCATAGTATAGCGTAAGTATATATATATATATATATATATATATATATATATATATATATATATAGACACACACGCACGCTTCGTAGTACTATTCATCCCTTGTATTACAAAAGTGTTAACGGCTAACATTTATATTCTTTATTTACTAAATACAAAAGTGATTTTTAATTTTGACCTTTGTTGACCTAAATAGCGACCAACTTTGGTCGCTAAACATACATAATTTTAAATTAGCGACCCAAGTTGGACGCTAAACTTAAATCAGATTTATTTATCTTTTTTATTATATTTAAAATATTAACCGGGTCCCAGATTAGCGACCAAAGTTGGTCTATACTCTACTGAGCGACCAACATTGGTCGCTAAAGTTGAATTATATTTATTTATATTTTATAATTTTTTTTAAACAAAATTATAATTATTAAAATTTTATAACTGGGTCCCAAATTAGCGACCAAAGTTGGTCTCAACCTGTTTTCTCTTTATATAGCGACCAACTTTGGTCGCTAATTTTAAATTTTATTTATTTATATTTTGTTATTTTTTAAAAATAATGTTATAATTATTAAAATATTTAATAAGTGGGTCCCATGAAGCGACCAACATTGGTCGCTAGTCTGAGTAATTCTTTGACCAAGCAAGTCTGACCAATCCGGTCAACAGTTTAACAAAATTTTCGACCAAGTTGCGACCAACGTTGGTCGCTAATTTATTTAAAACCATTATTTTATTATTTTCACCAGTTTAGCGACCAACTTTGGTCGCTTTTCTTGGCAAACCAACTTTGGTCGCTAAATTTTGGTCGCTTTATGCAGGAATTCTAGTAGTGAATTAGGTACGTATATCTGAATATGAATCCACAATATAAGAGAGTGCTAGAAATTCACTTGGATTTTTGTGTGTGTACAGAATGTAATAAAGTCCCAAAACGAATAAATGTACATTTGTATTGTAGAGTATATGTGTATAAAATCTTTTAGGCGCAAAACAGTTGTTTACACGCATTCCTTCAATCTCTTCTGCTTGTTAACATCAATATGTTCGATAACACGCCGTGCTTCCTCCTCTGTACCAGGGACAACATTCCTAATTTTTAAACCATTTCTTAGTGAATCCGAGCTGACAGTGAAAGTGAAGTAAAAATTGTTTGAAACCTGTCAAAAAAATGTACACAAACTATTTAGCTGAACTTTGCCACATGAAGTGAAACGGAAGGAAGGAATATTAACGAGTAATTTCCGCATATCAGGGAAAGATCGATGCTCACCTCACTGGAAAGATGTTCGGGCTGTGTAACATGAGATACAACTTCCACATAAATCAGAGGCCGCGACATGTTTTCTAGTTCTGTATACAAAACACATGATTTGAGCTGGAGGAAATCTCCAACATCTACCTGCATCAGCAGATTTCAGACTTAACTTAAGCATTTTATTTATATATTCGTATCCTATAAATCCAGTATAATCCCACATCGTGGGGTCTGGGGAGGGTCGGTTAACAAATACATAAGTAGTAATTTATGCACTTACAGGTTTCAAGAAATCAACATAGTCAACTTCCACAAAGCAAGGTGTACTGCCAGCAAATGAATAAGCTGTTGCATAAGCCAATTCAAAAGCTTTCCTCATTAGGAAACCTCCAAATATTTGACCATGAATGTTTCTTTGCTCAGGTTGGCAAACCAAAGAATTTTGAAGACAAGTTTCCTTTATTAGAATGCTGTCTCTATCTAACAAAGCTTCAGCCAACAATTTATTCAGTCTATTTACATTGTCTCCAATATTGGTGTCATGCTTCTGTTCTCTTTTCTCCTTTCTCATCTTGTTTCTTTCCTTTGCTTCTTCCCAAAGAAGCTTTTCTTTTTCAGTTTCAGGTAAAATCGCGTTGATTCGAGCTGATTTTCCAGTCTTAGAGTCTCTGGCCACAAATGTGAAGTTTGCTGTAAGAGCTACTGACTCTGTGGTATTGGATGATTCTGCAAGAAAATGATCTGTGTCATGAATAACAATGATGAAATGAAGATAACTAATTGACTATTTTGATGATTGTACAGTGCAGCTCAATAGAGATACTGTCCGCTTTGAGCCTAGGCCCACACGGCTTTAAAACGCGTCACTATGGTGCTATATCTAGTATCTCTCCCGTATTTTGTCGATGTGAGATTTGCCTAGGGTGTCACATACATCCCCCTTAGGGACGCTGAGGTTTGACCCACCATCATTCAAGGTTACACGCGGAGTAGCTCTGATACCATATGTAGCAGTCTAGCCTAGTGATACTGTCCGCTTTGGGCCTAGGCCAGCAGGGCTTTAAAACGCGTCACTATGACCTAAGGCTTATTTACATATATACCAAGTTTCTCTCTCGTGTTTTGTCAATATAGGATTCGCCTAGGGTGTGACATTGTGTTGAAGATATAATTATGTAAATAAAAAGTGTAACTTTCCTAACAATTTTAAATTTTAGATAAGCGATCACACAATTCAACATGATATTATGAAAATATGTGTAAGTCTTGAATTCGAGTCTCACTACAACAAATTATGTAAATAAATTTTCATGTGCTTGGTGTGTGAAAAAGTACCAAGATACCTGGTGTAGATTGCTTCACTTCAAGTTGAATTTCCAAAGATGAACATCCAACCCATATAACAGCCCCTTCTATAGTGAGATCAGTGTCAATACGAATAGTTTTTTTCAGAATCATCTTCTCCATAGATGCAGTCACCAGTTTTATGGACCTAGATGTACCATCATTAGAAGAACAATGCTGTTTTGCAAAAAAGAGACAGAATATCATGAGTACGATACTTCAGAAACAGGGCATTTAGTTTCTTAATGCATTAAAGAAAATAAACAGGATTATGGTAAAGGATGAGGTAGAAGGGGAGCCTTGGAGCAACGGTAAAGTTGTCTCTGTGTGACCTATATGTTACGGGTTCGAGTCGTGGAATCAGCCACTCATCCTTGTATCAGAATACACTGTCTACATAACATTCCTTGGGGTGTGGCCCTTCCCCGAACACTGCGTAAATGCGAAATGCTTTGTGTACCGGACTGCCCTTTTATGGTCATTGATGAGGTAAGTATACTCTAATTACCTAAATTTATCATTTAATATGATAAGTTAATACTCCTTTTGTTTTAATTTACGTGAATCGTTTCATAGTACATGGGTCAAATTGATTAATTTTCGTTGTGAATTTGGAGATTGACAACAACAACAACAACATCATACGCAGTACAATCCTACATAGTATGTCTAGGAAGGATAGTATGAACGCAAACCATAATCATATCTTGTGAAGATATAGACCCTCTCGGCTCAAGGTAGAAAACTTTGTTTGACTCATATATGAATGAGTTATATATAAGAAGCATAACTATACCTTATAGGAAATGGTTGCGGCCAAAGCATCCAAATCTTCCAGCAACTTTCCAATCCTAATCTCATTCCTGGGATTTCTATATCGTTCCCGAAGTGTATAATCAGAAGAAAATTTGAATAAAACATTAGTCCTACTCCTTGATGGTGTTTTAGCAATCAAATCATTTTGAAGAGACTGAACAACTGCAGAATTTGATGGCCTTCCAAAAATACTCGATCTCGCTTCCCACATTACATTTTTCACAGGCGAATGACACATAAACAACAATAAATTAATTGGTTTTCGAATCGATGATCCAGTTGAGCCTTCAACTGAAATATTGCTGATGGCATTCGCATTATGAACCTTTGGCTTTTCTGGTGATACGAACGTATTTAAGTAATTGTCGTTAGATGAACCAAGAAAGTGAGTAAAATGAGATTTTTTCTTTCTGAGTAATTTTGGACATGAAGTAATATCACCATTCAACTCCTTAATGAGATTCTTTGTTTCGGAATTATGTGATTGTGAAGTAGAAAAATAAGAAATGAGTGTATAGAGTGAAGCATTTTCTTCATACTTGAGAAAGTTGAAATGAAAATAAGAAAACGGTTTGAAGAAATGGTGACAAACTGGTTTTGTTGAAGGTTTCATCTAGTATAGTAAAAGAAAAGAAAACCCAATTAGTGGAAGATGACAGAAGCTTATACAAGTTGGAGGAAATTAATCTTAGTTTAAGGAATTGTGGGTTTCGAGATTGCTAAGCTTAAATAAGAAGAAATATGGACATAGTACAATTAGATGGAGAAATAAATTATACTGTTGTATTTATAAATGATACTATGGCAGATTAGAATGCTGATGTGACAGCTAATAATAACTGTTGTAACTGTAATTCAGAGAAATACAGCTGTGTGGGTATAAATCACATGTGAGTCATGAGCTAAACATCGAAATCAATCTGACAAAATCTATTTCCTCCAGCTGTGTGGGGATGCTTCTGTGGGTACACAAATAACTGTTCAATGTTTTTTAATTTCATTAATCCTTTGCAATTCAGATTTAGTTCAGATTTCGATTTTGTCCAAATTATATAACAAGAGAAGCTGGTCAACTGAACACCCTTCGCCGAAAAATTATACTACGTATAAGGTAAAACATTACTTGTTATTGATTAAAAATAGACTTTGAACACCCTTATAGCTATGCAAGGGTGTTTAGAATTTGAACACCCTTATTGAATTTCTTGGCTTTGCCACTGGGCGCGGTTCTACCTCCCGACCTACGGGTTCACATGAATCAGTAGATTTTGTCCAAACAGTATAAATGTGTTCGAAAAATTTACTATCTATAAATGTTTGAATTTGAACCCAGTTACTATTGAAAATTTATTCGAGGTTGCTGCAGGAACCCATAAACATTAAATTCTGGATCCACCCCCTGAGGTGATGGTGCAGGACTTCAAAATCCGGATTTGGTTTTTCAATTATGGAGCAGTTTTTAAATGCGGAAAGAAAAAAAAATTGGCAGGCCAAGCTTATTTTGACGGAACTAGACATGATTCAACTATTGTTCCGAAAACATAATAGAAACCAAAAAAAAAATGTTGGCCAAGTCAAAGCCATAGGGTTGTGGCGTTTTGTTTAACCCAAAAATTTAATTTGAAGGTCAAAGTAATTACTGGAAAAAAAAAAGGTCAAAGTAATTGATTTTGTATATTAGGGTACTAACAATCGATTTAAATTACTTTTCCAAATATGAATAATAAAAACATAAATAAATGAGAGAAATAATGCAAAAGAAAAGAGAATTCTTATGGAAGAATATGACTCCTCTTTTGTATGAATCTTGAATTGCTAGATATAAGATGTTATGATTATGAGAAGTGATTTTTTCGATGATGTACAATGTGCAGAATAGAGGTTTAAATAGTAATCATGTTCATAACGGATTAGCTAATTCTATATTTGCCCGTTACAATTATTTATTGCATTTATGGTATGTTACATAATTAATTTGTAATCGATGTTATAATAATGGCAAATCCCGTATAATTCGGGTTTAATTGATTCTCCTTTCATTCGTACTTATGAGTGATTCTTTGTACCAGATCCGGTGCAATTCTCGCACGATCAATTCCGGGACTAACAATTAATGTACTAATATGTTTAGTGTATTTTATACGTCACTTTTCACTTCTTTCGTAACTTTGCTGACACGTATCATTATTTAATTAATTGATCCACGTGGCTAGTTTATTTTTTGACTAATCCACATTTTTCATTACATTGAGAGGGTGTTTGGCTAAGCTTATAAGCTGGTCAAACTGGCTTATAAGCACTTTTTGGCTTATCTACACGTTTGGTAAAATTAAAAGTACTTATAAGTTAAGTGCTTATAAGCCAAAAATAAGTCAAAAGTCATAAGTTGGTCTCCCCCAACTTATCAAATTTCAGCTTATAAGCACTTTAAATTTAACCAAAATATTTACTATTCTATCTCTAAAATACTTCTTTTTAAAACAAAACTCTTCGTATCTTTAGCTGCATAGTATTAATTTCAGCACTTTTATCCAAACACCTAACTGCTTATTTTTTAAATCAGCTTCAGCACTTAAAATTATTTTTCAACACCTAATGCTTATCAACTACTCTAAATCAGCTAAGCCAAACGGGCTCTATTCTGATTGTCAAAGTCATCCACCAAAGAAGCTTTTAAATTGTTTCAGCAATATTTCTCCAACTAATTCTATCGTGGGTATTACTATATCAGCTGTTTTCATGATCTTTTTAATGATCTAGTTGAGGTTTGTCCTCTTGTTTGATCAATTTAAAATAGTCAAAACTTGAGTTTGCAGAATATATTCCAACTTAGTAAACTCTTGATTCTCTTTGCTGTTTATGCAAAGGAAAAGGTTTACTTTTTCAAACGAAATCTTTGAATTTCTGGAAGAAAAAAAAAAATCCAAAACTCCCGTGGACTATTCCTGATTTTTTGCAATAAATTAAATAATTAAAAGCTAGTTTGAAAAGGTAATGTTTTTGTTGCAGAAACAGTTCAAACTAACATAAATTTTCTTAATTGATTTCTTTTTTTGGGGCACTCAATTTTTTTTTTTTTTTTTACTTAAACGCTATTATTTCCATTTTTAGAAGTGTTAAAGAAGTTATTTCTGCTCTAACCTGCTCTTAATTAAAGAAATAAACCTACCATTATTGCCTTAATCTTCATATATATAATTATAATCATCAGAAGCAATCTCTCGAACAACTCATAGCCCTGGGATCGTGGCGTTTTATCCTATGCGATTCTGATTACAAGGCTATCAACCAAAGAACTAATTAATAAATTAAAACTGGGAGATCATGAATTTTCTAATCACCTTTTTCTCTAACTGCATGCCACGTTGTTTGATTAGAAAATACGCCATGTGTAATTAGAATATCAAATGGTACTCCCTCCTTCACTTTTACTTGTCATGTTTTGACTTTACACACCCCTTAAAAAATAATAAATAAAGTACATAATTTATCATGGTACACATATTAATTGGTATATAGTCTTAATGGATTTGAAAAATGATTTAGAATGAGTAATTAATGCTAAGGGCAAAACATGAAAAAAAAAAAAAAATTCTCTTGATATGCGAAAGTGGACAAGTAAAAGTAAAACTCTATTTTTAGAATAGTGGACAAATAAAAGTGACGGAAGAAGTATTTATTTTCATAATGATTTTTTATTCTTGCATAATAATCATGACCACATGCTTTACTAGTATAGTACTAATATCGATGTCAACAAGGATTGAGGAGTTCTTGTTTTCAAAGTGATTAATTTGCGGAATTATATTATGCTCTCACGTTTTCTACGATCAATTACTTAAAAAGATTACGGTGAGACTAGCAATATTGAGATTAGTTATGCTGGTATTCTGATATTACTTTTTATTGATTATTTGGTATGTTATATTAATCCTAAAATTATCGATTTCACTACTTTATCCTGAAATAACTTATTCTAAGATTAGTTGTGCTTGTCTCCTGATATTATTTCTTATTGATTGTTTAATATGTTGTATTAATCCTGAAATTGCCAATGTTACTGTTTTATCCCCGATAACTTATCCTGTGATTAGTTATACTGGGATCATTATGCTGGTATTCTGATATTATTTCTTATTGACTGTTTGGTATGTTGTATTAATCATGAAATTGTCAATTTTACTGCTTTATCTTATGATTAGTTATACTGGGATTCGTTATGCTGATATCCTGATATTATTTCTTATTGATTGTTTGTTATGTTGTATTAATCATGGATTTATCAATTTTACTGCTTTATCCAAAGATTAGGTATACTTGGATTAGTTATGCTGATATCCTGATATTATTTCTTATTGACTGTTTGGTATGTTGTATTAATAATGAAATTGTCAATTTTACTGCTTTCTCCTGGGATTAGGTATACTTGGATTAGTTATGATGGTATCCTGATATTATTTCTTATTGATTTGTCTGGTATGTTGTATTAATCACGAAATTGTCAATTTTACTACTTTATCTTGGGATTAAGTATGTTGGGGTTAGTTATGTTGGTATCTTGATATTATTTCTTATCTGTTTGGTATGTTATATTAATTCTGTAACTGACAATTATTTTACTGCTTTATCATGGGATAATTTATCATAGAATTACTATTCCATCCTCTGGCAGGTATAAGTTATCCTGGTACTATTAATTTCGAGATAACTCATCTCAGGATTAGTAACCAAACAAGGGATAAGGTGATACTAAATTTTTATCCCATAATTAGTTTTTCTTGTCCATCATACCATACGACTCCTACTTACATAGGGTATTTGATAGGTTAATCCAATGAAAATAATAAACTTATTCGAATTATTTAATCATAATATTTCTTTTTTCATACTAGACGTGTCATTTTATTATATCATTAAACCTTTTCTTTCTCTTACTTCTGTGATGAGCCTTCTTAACACATTGCGTGATTTAAACAGGCAAAAAAACATAAAGGGGAATTACCAGCTATGTCCATTTATAAGTAGCTCATTACAAAAATTGGCCAATTGATAAAATATTACTAATATTAGCCAAATTAGCCAATTAGCTAATTGAAGCAAAAAAATATCAAATTTTTGCTTTGTTTTGAGTGGGTGTTATTAGAATAGATTGGGCACAACTTAAGGAGCTTGAATCTCAGTTTTGGGATGATTTGGTGAAGTTTTGAGGTGGTTTGAATTGAAAATTCGAAGTAAAAGCTGAACATGAAAAAAAATGATATGTGTATCACACTGTGTATCATTTGTGTATCACATATGTATCATATTTGTATCAATTGTGTATCACATGTATATCCATGTATACTTGTGTGTGAGATACATGCGTGATACATGTTTGATACATGTGTCGCAGAAGATTTTTTTTAACTCGATTTAATTACGAATTTTGATACAAAACCAATCCAAATCACCTCCAATCTTCCTCAAAATTTTATATTGACTTATCTATATATTTTCAATGAATTTCAACTATACCCATTGAAAAAGTTCCTTTTTTGCTTCTATTTTTGAAATATTGTATAGATTTTTGTATTTCATCACCTTATTTGCTACCCCGTCCATGAAAGTTTCTTTCCATCTTGTATCTAATGTTGCTAATCACGCTTAAAAATATGGAAAGTGATTTTTGCATGTGATTCTTTGATAGAAAGAATCCTATTATTTGGTGTTTCAATTTTTGTTGGCTAGTTTTGGTAAGTCTATGACTAATGGCTAGAGGTTGGTAAGTTGAGATTTATTTGGGACATTTTTGTAAGTTTCCCAAACATAAATAGTCAGTCCATTAGTCTTTACAACTCCTCTTAGCCCTAAAAACTTATAAAAAATAGCCCTAAAATAATGTAGGGAAAACTACCCTATATACCTACCCATTCAAAAGTAATTATCCGTAACTACCCATCTTAAAAGTAATTATATTAAATACCTATTCTAGTAGAACTAATTACCCGCTCATTCAATTCTTGCGATGGACATATCCAGTTTAAGCAACAAAAGTGTGAATCCTAAAAAGAAGCCAAAGAATAGTTAGCTTTTTTCAACAGTGGGTAGTGTTGTTAGTATTGTACCTTTTTTTGCTATCATCACCTTTTTTTTTAATTTGTGCTCCATAATTTATTTTATCTTCTAAAAGTAAAAAAAAAAAATATGTACTATATAACAAAAATTTGAATTTTCATGTGTGTTGAAGTGTTTGCTGTTGGAATTTATTGGGTATTGTTCTTTGATTATGATATTAATGGTAATTTTCAAATATTTGACAAAAATTCAAATCCACCATTGAAGGAGCTTGAAGCTTGAAACTCATAACTTGGTTTGTTTGAGTTTTTAATTGTTTTGATCCGATCCTATATGAGTTTGTTTGGAAAGTTGATTGGAGGTTGTACCTAATGTTTTAGTCAATTTGGTGAGATTTTGTAGTAGATTTTAGAAGTTTGGGTTGAAATATAGTTGAACAAGAGAAGAAGACGAATTTGTATTGTATACTCAAATAGTATACAAATATACCATTTTGGGATACAATTCATTCCAACTATATACCCTATTAGTATAGCTATATACTATATTGGTATCATATGTTAGTTGAATCATTTTTTGGTTGTCTTAGCTGCATTTATTAGTACAATATTTGATTTTCTTTTAATAATAGTAATATAGTACAATATCTTGAAATACTTTATTATATTAATATGTGGTACA